TCTGGGACACCTCTCGGGCATCTCTTATGGCATCCACTTTGGCTTAACTCCTCCGGGATACGGTGCAACAGATTCAACAAGCTCACATGTTCATGACATCGACATCGATAGAAGAAACCAAACAAATCATGCAAGCAGCTTTGTTTTGCCTCTGGGACACCTCTTGGGCACCTCTTATGGGTTCAACTCCTCCGTGGAGGTTTTGGGATACGGTGCAACAGATTCAACAAGCTCACAGGTTCGTGAACACATCGGATGCATCGAACAGTGTGGCAAAGTCCAGCCACGCTTCCTTAATTATCGGGGACTTCAATTCTAAGGTTGGCTGTGTCATTGCTGTTTGTGTGTCTTACATGTTCACAACGTTTTACCTCATGAGCATTTGCCTCACTCCGCTTGATGTCCCACCAGTCCGGATGCACCCCTGCTAGCTTTCGTCACCTACCCTCGGCCTCAAGTATATATATAATATTGGTAGCATTGCTGGGAACCAACGGTGTCATACAATCCAGCTTGAGGTGCATTTCATTGATCTCGACTGCCAGTGCCAATCGCCATCCATTTGCCAAGGTTATAAACGGCAGCATGACTATCGACAATGGGTGTAGCCCCCAGCGCCCAGTCTTTCTAAGTGATACCTTCTGAGCTTACCACAGGCATCCAGGCCTATGGTGAAAGCATTCTTCTTGACTAGTGAAGGCTGCAATCCTGGACTTGTGCCCGAAGTATTCGGGGGAAGAACCACAAGATCTCCAAATCGTTTGCATAAGCCTCTTTGGGAGTGAAATGTGGCTTGCGCGTTTCCAAGCGCGGCAGCTGAAACAGCAACGCCAAGTACCGAGGCGATACCCTATACTTTGACAATCTTTCCGGAGGGAACTCGCTTGACGGCCTCCAAGCTGGTTGACAGCCAGGTGCGCCGACAATGGACCTGGGTTTAAAAGTACTGGGTCAGTGGCAATGGCAAGATTGGTCAACATCGGGATTGGGAGAAGAATTCACTCTGGAGCAAGATGTAATGTACTTCTGACACATTTGACATCATTTCCCTCTCTCAAGTCCTGCCAGGGATAGGGGCCAACTTGTCCGAACCACGGATTCATGCCTTTCTGGTGTCCGCTGACACCATGGTGTTTTTTTTTCCATCACATTTGCGAGCCCCTAGAGACAGTCCTTGGATTCTGTTTTGCTACACTTTGAGAACAGCAGCGGCATAGATACAAAAAGAATGGGTAGTGGGCAGGAAGATTTGGCAGAGGTTTTCGGTCGGTCCAGGAGGTTTCTAGGTTCGAGCAAGTTCAATGATTTTCGTTATCTGAGTCAACACTACAGGCAGAACTTATATAATTGATTATACTTGTATGCTACCCTCTCAAAGATCAGTTTTGTGCTTTTGGCAGGCAACCAAAGTAACAACGAGATATTTGAACCGTTGTAGTGATTCTAGTAGTGACCCTGCACCTTAGGCTCACAACCTTGTCAAGTGGGTAGATCAGTAGATCATCGACAAGGCCTAGCTCTGATTCGAATCAAAGCAGGTTCCCCTTCACAGGATGTTCAGCAGCTTTCCCTTCAACAAGGGCCACTCAATAGCCCAACAGGGACATAGCATGAAGGAGTCAGTGGAGAACTAGCTCCTTGTGCGACGCTCTAATGTGGCAGGAGTATTGCAAGTCCAAAGGCTTGCCAAGGTCGGGCGTCCGATTTATTGCTGGTCTGGCCATGGGATATGAATCTCATTTTTGGCAAGGGATGCATGCATGTACGTATGGGTTTGGAGAATCATATATAGATATAGAGTTTAGGGCACTGTGGGCCTACTAGTAGCAGCACTTGCTGAGAATAGGCCAGGGTGAACAGACAGGCTTTCCAGAGCGTTTTGTCCATTTGACTCAGCTTGTGCTTCTTATGTTTTGCAGCAATGGGTGAGTTCCGACAAAGCTTCACGGGGTGGATTTGAGTGAAAGAAGGATGTGCTAAGTCGAAGTTGTTGGCGTTCCAACTGTTCATCTAAAGATGTTTCTCTGTTTCCTTGCCACCAAGGCTGGACAATTCTTTGTGTCCACGAGCCAAGGGCCTTTGGTGGCTTGTTTTGAACAGTTTTTTTTGTGACAGGGCAAAGTCCGCACCAATTTTCCAGTCTTAATGTATACTCCCATGGAAAGCTGCTAGTAGGGCGGACGAGCAGCATAGGCCTCGCTGGCCTTTGCAATCTATATAGCCCTTGATCCAGACAGATGTTGGTAGTGTTTTTGTTTGATGCAAGCTACAGAGTGTCTTCAGGTTGCATTTTTCTGCCACGAGTTCCATCACTCGAAATTCAGTGAAGCAAAGCCCTTGAGCTGACACAGGAAGCTGTATGTTTCTAGCCGGCCAGAATCAGGTACTGGGATCGGCAAAGCAGTTCAAACTTCTGACACGGATCGATGAATCCACCAGGGAAGAGGTATTTGCAATTCCGACTCAGTGTCATGCCTAGCTCTTCCGTGTTTCCACGTCTCCCAAGTTTTTGCAAGTCCTGGAGTCCTGGGCTTTTCCGTCTCTTAGTATGAGATACTGTGAGGTCTGGGCGATGTAAGCCGAAACGGAAGCGATTCGACAGGGGGTTGGTCGGTCGGCCATGCTCGGCCACGGTCGCCGATCTTCGGTAAGCTGTTTTAGGTTCGTCGACCGAGGCAACAGCTTCTATATTGTATATAGTGTTTGCTGAGAACGAGAGGGGACCTCCAAAGTGCTGTGATGACACCTGATAGGTCAGATTGTGGAGGTGCAACTTCTGATGAATACTTGGTTCACAATTATGTCAAGGGCTTGCCTTGTGTGGAGAAAGTGGAGACTACGAGGGAAAATACTCTTGCAGTACTTGGAACGATGCGGCAAGCACAAGACCTACTTGTAACTTGTACCAGACTTTTCTTGTTCGAGCCTGACATCTAAGGAGTGCAATCGTTGGAATGCAGCTGGATAATGTGGGGAGTCCAGCAGACAGGCATGTGCACCACGGTGGGTGTTGTTAGCAAGTGCCCACTGCACCAGGGCCATTTAACTCTGAGTTTCCACCAAGACTTGGCGATTGGGATGATATGCCGCTGCGGCGCAATTCAACCAGAATAGACATGCCACTCCAAACGAAGGGTGACAGAATATCAAGAGTCAAGAGTCAAGACTAATAAGATCTAATAAGCCTTTTTGTACTGGACACAAACATGACTTGGACACTGGACGCACTACATTGATGCTAAGCCTCGCCTATCCAATCTATCCATTTCATATTCAGCTGATGGATCCTGTGATGGATCGTCCTCCCATGAAGCCAAGGTCTACGACATCACCGTGGTGGAAGGCCCGGACAGCGGCAAGGCCAGATTGATGGAAAGTATCGAAGATTCCGGTGTAATGGGTGCTTGCAAGCTTGTAACTTGGAATTGGATTTTATTGGATTATCATTCTGAGTCTGAGAATCAATGATATCATCCCGGAATGTTTGTAAAGCAATATAGTATTGTTCCCCAAACAGGTTTACCTGTGAGGGGTTCTTGCTCCTTTTAAAGGGGTGCATGCTCGGGCCGGATGATTCTGAGTTTGTCTCCGGGCTTGTGTCCCTGGCCGCATGATTTCACCCTTGTCTCCCACTTGTCTCCCACTTGTCTCCCAGTAAGCTCTGGATGCTCTCAGTGCTCTGGCCGCATGATTTTATACTTGTCTCCCATTTGTCTCCCATTTGTCTCCCACTTGTCTCCCAGTTGTCTCCCAGTAAGCTCTCGATGCTCTCAGCGCTCTGGCCGCATGATTTCAGGCTTGTCTCCCACTTTGTCTCCCACTTGTCTCCCAGAAAGCTTGGCCGCATGATTTCACACTTGTCTCCCATTTGTCTCCCACTTGTCTCCCACTTGTCTCCGAGTAAGCTCTGGATGCTCTGAGTGCTCTGGCCGCATGATTTCACACTTGTCTCCAACTTGTCTCCCAGTAAGCTCTGGATGCTCTGAGTGCTCTGGCCGCATGATTTTATACTTGTGTCCCATTTGTTTCCCACTTGTCTCCCAGTAAGCTCTGGATGCTCTGAGTGCTCTGGCCGCATGATTTCACACTTGTCTCCCACTTGTCTCCCAGTAAGCTCTGGATGCTCTGAGTGCTCTGGCCGCATGATTTTATACTTGTATCCCATTTGTCCCCCACTTGTCTCCCAGTAAGCTCTGGATGCTCTGAGTGCGCTGGCCGCATGATTTTATACTTGTCTCCCATTTGTCTCCCACTTGTCTCCCAGTAAGCTCTGGATGCTCTCAGTGCTCTGGCCGCATGATTTTATTCCCCAAACAGGTTTAGCTGTGAGGGGTTCTTACTCCTTTGAAAGGGCGGGCCGCGTGATTTTGCATGTGTCTCCCGGTTGTGTTCCTGCCACACGAATGATGTTGCAGCTGTCTCTCAGTCTGAGCCGCATGATTTTACACTTGTCTCCCGCTTGTCACTTGTCTCCCTCGTGTTCCTGTCTCCAGTACACTCTGCTGCTCTGGCTGCGTGATTGTACACTTGTCTCCCACTTGTCCCCCTTGTCTCCCGTACTCTGGCTTGCCTCCCCCTTGTCTCTCTCTGTCTCCAATACACTCTGGGTGCTCTGGCTGCATGCTTTTGCACTTGTCTCCCACTTGTCTCTCCTTGTCTCCAATACACTCTGGGTGCTCTGGCTGCATGCTTTTGCGCTTGTCTCCCTCTGGGTCCTCTGGGCCGCGTGAGATGTTTCCTCTGCCTACTCTGGATACACTTGGCCGGATGTTTGTTTTTACACCTGTCTCCACTGGTCTCCCACTTTTTCGGCCTACTTTCGATTACACTTGGCCGGTTGCTTGTCTTCTTGCTTCTATGCTCTCGGTTGGATGAGTTTACACTTCTCTCCCTGCTTGTCTCCCTTCTTGCTTCACTTGTCTCCACTTGTCTCGGCCTGCTCTGGATACGCTTTTACACTTGTCTCCGCTTGCCTCTTCGCCTGCTCCCTGCTTGGACACTCTTGGCCAAGTGGCTTTACGCTGTCCCACTTGTCTCCCTGCTCGTCTCCCTTCTTGCTACACTTGTCTCCACTTGTCCCCGTGCTTGTCTCCCTCGCTTCTTCACTTGTCTCCCTTCTTGTGTCCCTGCTTGTCTCACATTTTGGTTGAAAGCTTTTAACATCTTTTAGCCAAACAATCATGATAAAGCCACATGTCAGTACAACTCAGCATATTCAGTAGATTTGCGTTCTATTTTCGTCTGAATTGTCGGTTGTGACCTTGAGCCAATTGAGCCAAGTGCTGAAACAAGCCCAGAAGGTCCGAGTTGATCACCGCGAGCTGGAACGGTTTGAGCCGTTGACGGTTTGACAGTTCGTCTCTGTGGTTAACTTCATAAACGCACAAACTGTTTGGGGTCTACGCTGATATAATTTTTGCTTTTCCTGTCGACTCAGGAAAAGGACAGTTGGAATTTTGCAAGTCTCCTTGAAAGAAGGAACGAAGGGAGGCCTTTCGCTGAGCAAAGTGTGCCAGGCCAATGTGTTGACCTTGGCGCAAGGGATTCCAGCGGAGTTTCACGCCACTTGGCTTTGCACGAAGCAGCTCAGCCGGGGAGATTTCAAGATGCTGCTTGTGTAGGCGTTTTTTTGCGCCAGGGTGTCAAGCAAACTCTGCCGGAACTCTGGGCCTCAGGGGGCCAGATCCCACATGAACTTGTTGCAGATTCCGTGAAGACTGAGGTCTTCATAGAGAAGATAGCTCCCAACGACATCCCCAAGGATGAGGACACCGTTGGATTTGTGACACCTCCAGGTTTGATGGTGTAAGGCTTTTGATTCATCCCAAGTTGGAAAGGATCTCGCCTGATTTTCTGCACTCAAGTTCTGCCAGGTGTAGGCAGGGACGTTCACACAAACGTTTGTCCTGTGGAGCCCAGCGGGCCCTCGAAACAATCCTGCAAAGTTCACATAACGTTCTTTCTATGCACTGTTTCAAGCCTCAACATCTTTCAATTTGGTTTGCAGGCTGAAGTCACCCAAAGCCAGGTAATATCAATGTTTTCCGATATTTTTCACACCTTTACCTGTTCGCACATAGTCTTGCGTGTTGCCCTAAATAGATATTTTCTGAGTGAGAAAGCCTGCTACAGTAGTATTTGCGCCCACATTCGCTATCGTTTTTTCTCAGCTCGTCAGCTCGTTTGGTTTTGCAAGGTCTCCATACACCTCTAAACCATCTTCAGTAGTGCGAGCGTGAGCTATCCTGCGTCCTACCTAGAAGCTAGCTTTTCCTAATAGCGAACTAGTCGTTTACTTACTTGAGTAGGCGCCTATATAATTAAGCAGGAGCGGGCTAAAAACAAATAGCAACATCAGGAATTCCCATTGTCTCACCTTTTGAGGTGCACGTGAAGAACCCCTCAGCCAAAGCTTCATGGCGTGAATCGGAGGATACCTTCACGAGCTGGCTCATGGGCCGATGGCAAGCCAAAGATGCAAGGATCGCCAGGCCGGCTCTGCGTCGGTGCAAGTTTCGTTCGAGGGGAACCGTTGTGAAGTCGGTGCTGACGGTACGATCTTCGGATGAAGGAGGGAAGTCTGGGAGTTGATGGGAGGGTGTCCTTCAGTACAACTAGGAGCCTTGGCACAGATCAACCGTGGTTTCTTTTCAGTGCTGTTTGTGCTGCAACATAATTTCTTGAGTTAGGTTTGGAAGGGAGACTCAGTGTTGTGCTCGGTTGAAACATCTTTGGAATGATGGTTATCTAAAGTGATTTGCCAGAACATGTCTCGCCGTGGCCATTCATTCCATTTATTCATATCAGATCTTCTTAGTTTTTCGATGTGCTTTAGATCACGACACATGAAGCCTGTTGAGAGCAAAGGGTCCTGAAATGTAGTGGTTTGTGTAGAGGCCTACCTTGAGAACAAATACATAGTGGCGGAGTCTGCCGGAGTCGGTGCTTTGAATAGTCACTACACCGATCCACATGTTGTTGTGACTTGCATGGATTTCTGTTCGCTGCCAGGTACCAAAAAGACCAGCAGTTTATGGATGCGACCGGTGCACCAGCCCAGAGGCCCGTCGGCCAACTTCAAGCTGACCACCGGTGTCCACCGGTGTCCACCGGTGTCCACAAGTGAATCAGAGAAGTTAATTTTAATATCATGTATAAAAACAACACTGAAATTGTGAGGCAGGATAGGATAGGATAGGAAGCCTTGGAAAGGACGAACGCATGTGTTTTCGCCTCAAAGTTCCTGCAAAATGTCACTTGGCTTCAACCCAGCCATCGGGCCACCCCTGCGCCTCAGTGAAGCCTGGTCGAGCTTGAACACTGGCATATCCAACAGTGAAGCCTTTGATCCCACGAGCACTGGGCATATCGACAAAGGCTGAGTCTCAGTGCAGCCAAACGAAGCAAACATGGCACGACGTCTCAAAGCCTGTGACGAGTGGCACGACGTCTCCAGGCATCTGCTGTCTGTGGACCCTAGATGTGCGCAGACGACTTACTGCGGGAGACCCCAGAACAACGGAATTCGTTTTCAAATTGCAGAGGGTAAGGTGCGAGGGACCTTGTTTTCGAGCAGAGTTTTCGCTTGTTTTAGGTGCGATGCTATGGTGGCTGCTGAGCAGCCTCTTTTTCTTTCAGCACTGCGTCGGCAGCTGAGAGAAACTGCTAAAGTGGCCTTTCTTGGAAGCTTCTTCACATGCATACACACAAATTCAATAGATCGAGGTAAGATATGGGCGTTATCGCCTACTGCTTGGCACGGGCTTGGGCCAGTGACTCAGATAGTTGTGGTGTCACTGTGCTTCAGGCTGATTCAATCTCACAGTGCAAATGACCTGATTCATTTTGTTGGATTCAATGGCTTGCTCTCATTTTCATGAGACTGGCTGCTGTGCGTGTTGATTCGAGACCCCTCGCAGTACTTGCCACTCAGGTACGCTGCTCCTCGTGGCGCTGATTGGTGTGGTCATCCAACGGGCGCTGACCTCGGCCCAAAGTCGGAACCCGAACACCAAAGTCATGAGGATTAGGCGGAGATGGAAGGTGTTCTACATTGAGATTGTGCCTAGGGTGCATAAGTGGCACAGGAGACATCTTTTTGGCACCTTCCTGTGCAACCAACGAACCATCCTTGTTCGTGAGCACAGCACATCCAGCTTTCAAACTCCCCGTAATAGTATCTCGTTCGACTGCATCCTTGTGCTTGTACAGCCTGAGCTTTCTCGCTTCTTTTGTCTCAAACAGTTTGGGGATCCCAGGGCCTCGGGTTTGGCGCCATGACCGCCTCACCGGATCAAGGGGTCTTCTCCTCTCGAGCTGCTGTGGCGGCACAGAGCAGAGAGGACCTGCTGCGGCTCACGTATACCACCACCACCGGCTCCAGCTATCTTGGGAAGCAATTCGCAGCTCAAAGACAAGTTGCAAGTTGTTTGGACGAGATATCTATATAATACCAACATGGAAGCCAACATGGTCAGCCTCGGTGGGAAGTGCGAAATAAAGAGTATATATACAGTAATTACAAAGCCTTGCCTTGCCAGAAAGCTTGCTCAAGAAGTTCATTCAGACTCTCATCACGAACCCAACATTTTGGAATTTGTGTGTGAATAGATCCACTAAGCCGAGGAGCGTGGCGAACGGCCGGAGAGCTTCCAAGAGATCTTCGAAGTGGGTCAACGACGGACGAAGTATCTGGGTGTACCACTGCGCTTGGCGCCGCTGCTGGATCCATGCCTTGGACTGTAGTGGTCGGCAAAGTGACCAGAGATGATGGCAGTGCCCACAAATTCTGCGGAACTCATCGGTAGGACTTACCATCACGAGTCAAATGGCTTTGTGAGCATTCCCAACAAACCATTTTGAGGACCATTCGTTAAATGACACTTGATTGTCCCTTGCGAAACAACATCATTGACCACTTGCTTCAACGAATATAACATTGTTCGATGTGGAACTCTCTTTCTGTGCTCCTGAGCAAATCTGAGGATCGCTCTTCCTGCAACTACACCATGGACTTTGCCAAGAAACCACTTGGTGATCATCTTCAAAATAGTAACTCGCCAGTACAGATCCTGAATTGATATGTGAATAGAGCGAAAAAAAAAAAAAAAGAAAACATGCAGCGCAAATGCTTGAGTAGGGAGAGTCGTGGAATGACTGGAATGACCTTTGGGGACCTCTTGGCAGCGGTCGGAACTGTGGCCGGGAATGGGATGCAGGCCACATGGCCAAGCACTTCAAAGCTGGCACAAAGCCTCAGAACGGCCTGCCGAATCTGCCAACGGCCAAAAGCACCTACAGTGGCTGGGGCGGCAGTTCGAGAGAAGGACCCTCATGTTCATGTCATGAAGATTCCAGATTGACTGGTAGATACCAAAAAAAGACCGTTTGCCATCTATCATCCACAAAACCGTTTGCGGTTTCAGAGTAGATGGCACAACTCTCTAGATGACTCGTAGATGGGACATAAACTACCCCTGGGGTTTTGGCATCTCTGGCATCCCAGTGGTCAGTTTGACCGTTCTTAGGCGAAGAGATTTGCCTCCCGTTGACAGAGGAGGAGAGGCTCAGAGCCCGCATGCAACCTTCTGGGAAGTGGCTTGGCTGCTTTACGTTGACCACGGAATGTGACTGTAAGGCCTTTTTGGGTGCATGTTTCCGCCGACTTTCCCAAAGATCCCACGACCAAAGAGGGCTTTGCTATGACACAATTGACTCTGAATCTCTTCGTCTTTTGGAGAGCACACTGACCTGCACAACTTCCCTTTACTTTGCTGCCAGGTTCGAGCCCCGCTGACTAGACCTCGCCAAAGACTGCGGGTGATTCACCCCATCCACTAGTCACTAGTCAGTCAGCAATCCGTCCAGTCAGCGGATCCAGTCCTTTTCTCACAGGATCTGTCCAGCAACTGCAGTGCATTCAGACTGGGCACTCCCACAGCCACGATGGATGCACTCCACTGTTGCTGCCTCAAGCTCAGAATGGCCTCCCTGGATAGTAGGGCCCCATGTCCCCATGTGTCTTCTTTTCTCAAGAAGGGAGCTCCAAAGACTAGTATACGCAGTTGTGTGCTCCCGGATCTTTGCTTATTTCTTTCTACAAGGCAGAGAACTCAGGACGAGGCGGCCCAACAGTGCGGGGTGTTCTGTTGCAGAGCCTATGTCAAGCCCTGGTGTTTGGCGAACAGCCTGGAGTCTTTGGGCCTGTGCTGTTGGCCCACATAAGACAAAATTTCAACTTACCTTCATTGAGACAGCCTCAGGATCTAACGTCTGTCACATATATGGCGTTCCATCTTTGCATGTCCACAGAGACGAATTAAACATAATCAATCCTCATGCTCTGCAAAAAAGAGCGCCTGATCTCCCCTTCAAACCACTTCGGCCTGCATGAGGTGTGCCCGCCAAGAAACGGAACTGCTTGTTACTATACAATTGTTATTAAATATATACTGGTTTTGTCATGCCGGGACTCCCTTTGACTCGGATTGGAACTTCGGCCAAACACGCCTAAAGCATTTTGCATGTGCCGCGTGCTGTTCCAACACACTTCTCCTTGAAATTCAGCACCACCCTCCGCACCAGACTTGGACAAGGCCAGGTTATAGTGTGTCGAGGCACCCATCATGTCAACTTGTCAGACCGCAATGGAAGCATCTTCCAGGACAGCGTCGGGCTCACGTGCTATGCGTCCAGTAACAGTCTTTGTGTTCGCCTTCAGTTGAGGGCGAATTGTGGAGACCACTTGCTGCGGCAATGTGGTGCTTTTCTAGGATGGCGAACCCGTGTGGGAGAAGATAGCATTTCTCCGATTTATTCAGTCCCAATCAATCAACAGCTGCATCACATTGAACAGGCATGCAGGTGCTTGTTTGATTCAGCCAAACGGCGATCCGGAAATGCCGTCTACATCCGTCTAGATATGAAACTTGAATGTGTAGCGACTAGCCAGAAACGTTTGGGACAAGGTATGACGGGGCAGAGTTATTTTGAAGTCGCAGCTTGAGACTTGTTTGCTTGTCAATGTCGCTGGTCAATCATGTGATATCGTGTGAAATGTTTTGCACAAAGAAACTGCGGTTGTTTTGGCAATGCACGGGCAATTTGAGAAGCTTCCATCTCAAGAGGCAAGGACACTTTGTCTTCGCACCGGTGCAAAAGCAAGTCTTTGAGAGTTATCATGTCGCTTTATTCAACCGTTTTCACACGAGTTATGGAGAACCCCTTCAAAGTGAAACTCGGGTGCAACACATACTTCGATTTTCATTTGTGCGGCGTGTTCTAATAAGTTTTTGCCTTGCGAGCCTAGGCTTTCCACAACTCTCGGCCCAGATGGGGCCAGGTCAATCTACACCCTCTCCCTGACGCACGAGACCTATCAAGCCCATCCAATGATCGGCCATTCCTCTTCAGACAACCGCCCCAGGGATTGCCTACAGAGAGTTCAGACGGCACCAGCTCCAATGAAGTCATTGTATCACACAGACTATGTGGCTCACACTACCCGAAGAGAGGTGCTTCGCAAAAAGGGTTGGACCTAGTTTCAACTTTGAGTTCTGCAAAAGCACGAAGGTTTCACAAGTCCATTGGACCAAAGCATCCTCTTTCAGCATCCACAGTGTAAAAGGTTCACCATTGCAATGCGCAATTAAAAAGCAAATCTTTATTGCCGGTTGGCAGGCGCCGATTTTAAAAGAGGCCACCCTTTGGACGATTTATTGGGAGCCACTCCAAAGGAGTTCTCCCTTGGTGTCGAGCCTCAAAAGAGGCAGAATATGGCAAAAAGACAAAAGAGTGCAATCAGTGCAAACAGAGAATTCAATAAATTCGATTTGTTCGCACAACATGGCACACATGTGTTTGAATCACTCGTCGAGAATGGAGCATCCCTTTCACAGCTTCACCAGTCAACTCTTATCTTACCTTGAAGAGAAGACCTCATATATACCAGATTTTCATTTCATATAGCCAGTGCTGAAGCATCCTCGAACCTCTAGCTGTTTTTGTCGCAAACAAAAAGTGCGTTTGGAAGCGATTCCCTCAGAGAAACAGTCACGATGTGGCTTCTAGGGTGCGTATTTGGTGGGTGCAGGGTGTAGCTGCAGGGTGTCCTCCCGACAAGCTAGGTGCACTTTACCCATTCAGTTGCAAGCTCAGCAGGTTCAGAGCAGGTTTCCTGGAGTGGCTCGGTTGTTCTGGTTTCCAGTCGGTGGACACCTAGAGTACTACTAGTAGCTAGAAGATGCTAGAAGCTACTAGTAACTAGTAACAAGAAGCTACTAAAGGGCTCCTGGCATCGCTACTACGAGCAAGGATGCTACTATATAGGGGCTCCTGGCCGTACTACTAGTAGCTAGAAGCCATTAGTAACAAGACGCATGTTGAATAAATCCATTGCCTGGCTGTGCAATTGCCTCAGCATGGCCCGTTGGCGATGACATGTTCATTTTTTTTGTGTGTGTATAGTTTGTTTGCTTCTTTCTCCTACCTCTTAGGCTCCTTCTATCTTCATAGTTGAATTCTTTCCAACACGTTCATCTCCTTTCTTTCTTTTTTTCGCATGGTGTAAAGAGTCGGCGGACTTGTGCCAAGAGCTGGCAGCATCAGCCCCCCGTTGCTTGTCAGGCGCAAGGGAAGAAAGCCAAATGAGGGACACCAGACTTTGCGAGCTGTTGCACCTGAAACAAGGGTAGCTTGAGACCCAACCAGACAACGTCTCCCCTTGAGCCATTCAAGCAAGGAGCAGGCAGGCATTCTTTTCCTGGCTTGGGCTTGGGTGTTTAGCGGGATATTTGAACTCTTGCTCAAAGCCAACTGATACTTGACGTCCTTGGGTTAACAACATATCTCAAGCGTGTTTGTGCCCAGCAGATCTAAGCTTCACCTCACAAGCTATGAAGACATCCAACTACAGTACAGAACCACCTTATGACAATAGCTACAACAACGGCTATTCCACTGTCTATTCTACTACATTAAAGGCAGACGCAGGTCGCCATGTGCATAATTCAATTGCTGAAAGTACACGGAGCATTCCCCATTGAAGGCATGGAGGTCTTCATGCATCAAGGCAAAGCTCAAAGCGACCGAATCTGATTATTGGCTTTGCAACCTTGTGTATGGTCTCCAAAGCAAGACTGGAATGCTCTGTGTCTTGATGCGTGATGTGATCTCTTCACCTCGATTTTCACAACAACGTAGTCTGCTCATTCTGATAGCTGGACGTCTCTTGGACGTCTCTTGAAGCTGTAACTGGGCAACTGACCATCCTGTCAACGCTTGGATTTTCAACAAGCTTGTTCTTTGACATTCTAGTCTTAAATAGGATCTTCCTCATTCTGGATCGTACTTGTGTTTTTGCATATTTCTTGCTGCTTTTTGCCCGCAAGGCCACACGGGATATTGTGTATTTGGCTAAAGGCCCCGTTCGGGCCCTCAAAGGCCCTGTTCGGGCCGCAGAGACCCAAAAACCGCCATAAGAGGCTTTTAGTCGTCTCAAGCCTTATGGGATTCCGTTATTATCCATGGGCATTGATGGTCTGCATGTTGCACTCTTTGGATCATAATGGGGCGCACCCATAAAGGGATATACTGGTCGAGGGTTTGCTCAACGAGCCCTAGTGCCTTAGACCACGAATTCAGCTGCGCCACCAAAGTTAAGAAAGAGCCCGTTCTGATGTAAGAAGTACGGTGGGGCAGACAACATCCCAAACCAAACTGTCTCCTTGGTGTGTTTGGTGTCTTCTTCGGCCCTTCATGCGACTCCTCGAGCTTGAACAGCGGGACGCATCGCCGCGAGGAAAGCTTTGCCATTTGCCGCCTTTGCTGCTTGTGGTGCTTTGTGAGATTTGCCATTTGCACCAGATTGCCGCCCCAGGCTTTTCAAACTTGTGGCCCGCGCTGCGCATGGGCGAACTGCTAACTCTTCGATTTGTCCATCTCGAAGGGATTTCACCATCCTTTGGTTCAAGAGCAGAGTGGTGCCAACATGTCACAAGCAGCAATCAGGATTTGAAGATTTGCTCCAAGTCATCAGAAACCTCCGAGTACACGTGCATATGAAGCCAACCAGGGGGCCCCAATTCTGGTCGTAGGAATCTGGCCGGGTCGTGACTCAGCCCCCGGCGTTCCGGGGATTGCTTGAGCCTCTCACAAAGTGGACGATCCGAAGATGCTGTGGCTGCTTTTGGCACTTGCTTTGAGCTGCCGAGCTCAGGCCCAGTCTTGACTGCATGCAATGGAAGAGTTTGAATTGGGATGTTGAATTGATGAGATTCAAACATGTACGACAGATGCTGACATGATTTTTGGGATGCTGAACTGCCTCCAGGACTACTCGGGTGCATACCGCAAGGACCGCCACAGATACAATATGACAACATAGACATTCTTAGTCACTAGACCAAGTCATCCGACCTTGTGTTTGGGCAAACACTTGCAAACCAGTCTGTCGGGGAGACTCCCTGCTAAGATATGTCCTGGAGAATCACTGGAGAACAAAAGGTTCCTGTCACTCTCGGCCCCAGCCTCTTTCTCAAGGCCTACAGCTACAGTAGTTAAAATGAGACATCGTAGTTAGGAGCGGCGTCTTGCTGAACCTCCGAGAAAACTCGTGGCTTTGGCAAACTCTTGCTGAACCTCCGTCGTCGTGAGCTCGTGCTTTCGGTGGGCTGTGGGGAGGAGCCTCCAACATTGTCGTGGTTTATGAATCAGATGGTTTGGCATCTTTATTTGTGTAAACACTGCCATAGCCATATCGATTGACAAGCAATGCCATGGCCCATGGCCTATAAGCTGGTTGGCTTAGTATTCCACTTTTCACAGAGGAACCCAAGAGGATTGACGAACGCAGCTTTGGTAAAAAGCATGATCATGGTTTCACAAGCAGACATCTTGGACGTCCGCACTCTTGGATGATCTACACGAGGTACAAGATGTGTTGCAGACCGAGCGACCCCGGCTGTGCTAGTTGAAGACCGCCAGTAGACACACAGGACACCGTTGCATACGGAGCTTTGACCCTGTTCTGAAGACTTCGGAGCAATGGGCAGACTTTGGAATAAACACTGTTGATATTGTTGGGGGGCTCCTGAATATCACCGTGGTGGATGGACAGTTACATCAAAAGGAATAGCAGTCATTTTCCGCAGCCATGGGCACTTCCCACAAATTGAGGAAGCAGGCACCTCATTAACTAGGCTCGCGGTTAGCCAGCCCACTTAGGAAGATTCAGCGCTGCCGCACCGGTTTGCTTCCAGAACTCACTTCCTCTGCAATCCTGTAAAAACTAAAATAGGCCAGCTCTTAAAGCCAAAGCTTCTTGTTACTAGTAGTAAGGCCAGGAGCTACCTGGTAGCCTCCTTGCTCCTAGTAGCGACGCCCTTGTTACTAGGCCAGCCGACTTGGTGAGGTCCCCAACTGTTGACCCAGTAAATCCGGGATATTGACGAGTGCAAATGTTGTGGGCGTGCTAAGCACATAATTAGTCAACATCCATGTTTCTTTGTAGTCGGTGTACACCTGCGATCTCTTTTCGTCTCGAGCTCAGGGGGGCTACAGCGGCTCTGGTTCTTACGGGTCGAGTCAGGAGCAAACCGGAATTGCAAAGTCTGGGAAGAAGGCAAGATATGCAAGGTCTGGCTCATACAGTCGTCAGTGAAAGGGTCCTCAAGGCACCTTGAACAAAGACCTACACCAAAGGCTGAAAGCTCCTGGGTAAACAATCATAGAACAGGAGTGTTTTGTTGTCGCAGTGTCCTCGGCCATTCACTTGGAGGGTGGAAAGAGTTCAACTTTTCATGATTTCTTTCAGACCTCTGTGAAATGTGTGTAGCAGGACTACTACGGCCACGGAACCTCAAGATATGATTATGGATCTAGTTCTGGATCCAGTTCTGGACACTCCGGGTCCAGCTATTGGTCAGGCGATGGACATTCAGGGTCAAGCTACGATTACAGTCCCCCAGGGTCAAGCTATCACTCCGGGTCCAGCTATGACTATAGCTCAGGGCACTCTGGGTTGAGCTATCATGGCAGCTACAACTTCGCGTCCGGTGATGGATCCTCATCCGGCAGCTCAAGTGGTAGTTCCGGTGGATCGGCATATTACCATGGAGGCTCTGCCTACCACGGTACCAGCTACGACCACGGCAGCTCATCCTACAGCGGCAGCTCTTCCTATGACCATGGCAGCTCTGGCAGCTACAGTGGAAGCTCTGGCGGCTACAGTGGCAGCTCTGGCGGCTACAGTGGCAGCTC